ATTTTTCCCCTAGATCAAGAACTGCAGAGACTTCGGAGTGGAATGAAGTCCTTGGTCATTGCCAATGAAGAAAAGGTAAGCTAGAAATTATGTGAAAATATTTGTTTAAAACAGCTATGGAGGATTTTAAAAATATTATATCAACACAGTCATTACAACACAACTGCTCACAATAGTAACAAAACCTCATTAGTGCTGTTTAAAATAAAAAAGTAACTGTGTGTTTAGATGGTGTCATTTCTCAAAGCATCACACTTTGGCCATTTATAGCACAAAGGGTTCTTTGTTTTCTCCCTCCCACTGTATCTTGGACTTTAAGGACTTGTAGAATCAGCCCTAAATATGGTACATTAGTGAGGACACACACAAGCACACACCCTAAGACAAACCATTTCAGGCAAGGCCACAATTAGATATGCTCTGCTCTGCCAAGCTTAATTTTGGAATGCACAGCATTAGGATAACCATTGCAAAACCAGGCATGGGCACCACTTCAAAACACACACACTCTGTGCAGCTGGTTACCACAACTAAGACTTCCAGCCAGACCTGTGTCAGTCCCCTCCTTTTTATTTACTTTGATGTAAAGGCCATATGGTGGACGGGGAGCGTTTGAGCGTCGTGTCGGTCAGGAGCTGAGTGAATTCATGCACGCTTCTTAACCTTTGATAATGTAAAGATCTTTACTGAAGGTTTTTTTTTTTAACTTTAAAGCCCTCACTGATCTTTTTCTTTTCTTTCAGGACCGTCGTATAGAGGAGCTGACTCTGCTCTTGAATCAGTGCAGGCAGTTCAGAGAAGTTACTCACACTTCAAGGCAAGGTAATCAGCCTATTTACTCCAAGACATACCTGACTGATTTTATGTTTATCTCAGCAACTAAAACGTAAAAACAAATTTAAAACCATCAAACATCCTTTTCCCAATAAAAATAAAACAATCCACTTCTTTATGTTTCTKTAGCTTTGTCTGTTGTTCGCTCGTTGACGAATGGTTGGACTCCATCAAGCAGCAGTGAAGAAGAAGAACAAGGATTCTTGAAGAATGCTGACTCTTCCAGTGCAAAATCAGACGATGTGAAGTCTGAAGTAGGTGCAAAACACTTWCCAACTGATCTCAGTCAGATCAGTACAAACATGAAAGTGGTTTTGATTTGTTTTTCAGTATCTTTGAACAATCTACCCATGTAGTTCTTTTCATGCATCACAGGTTTCAACAAATAGTTCTTCTTCCCAACAAATATCTCTTCCGTCAATCCAAAAAGAAAGTGATTCCAGGTAGTGATACAGCTTTATGTAACAGGTGAATCCAATTACTCTTAGTTGGATTTTAGAGTATGAATAAGCATGTTCTGTTTTTATTTTTATAGACCAGAGCTTCAGACATTATCAAGCAGTATGAATGACATAACAAGTGGACATTTGCCAAAGGTATTTTAACATAACTTGTAAATTTTGTAGACAAATAACATGTTTAACCTTTTTGAATTTAACAAAGTCACTCTCCTCTTTCATTTGTGTTTCCCCAGAATGACCTGGATGACAGTAGGAGTCATACTCTGCCCATAAATTCCTCATTGTTGGAACAAAATGGGATGGAAGACAGTAGTGCTGAAATACAGAGTCAAAAATCCCCCGACAGTAGTGAAAATGGAGACTGCATCCAAAGTAAATCCATGCATAAAGCTTAACAGAGTGTTATTTATGATATCATGGGTAGTGAGTCTTGGCATGCTGCATGATCACTTCATAGCCTAGTTATTCCCATGAGAGCAGGGAGGATTCATTTTTGGAGCTAAAACCACTCTCCTCTGACCAGATGACTACTGCATGTTTGATCATAGCTAATTGCAGAGGCTCCTGAAAGAGCAGATGGCTCCAGGGATAGACTTTCATACCCAACACACCCACTATCTTGCAAGGATTGACCACATTCATCCCAGTTCCACCCTTTCTCAGTTTGACTGACCAACTTGAACTTGTTCCATACCATGATTATACTGACACACACTATCATTAAAAATCATACTATATAAAATGAAGTTAAAACCTTTTGTTTTGATTTGGCATAAACTGATAAATTWTTAGCTGAACTCTAAACTGCATCGCTCTGCTCAATGGAGCTTTGTGAAACACCAGTCTGCCACACATGTTCTGCTTTACTCTTAATGTTCTGCAAAACGGAAGAACAGAAATCAGAATTGTTTTGTCTACAACTTTACATCAGCTACAGGAAACAGTCATTTTCATTGATATCATCAGTCCAAACAATGTAATTTGGCAATATTACAGTACATTGAAGCATGCTTTTAGTACTGCATAGGATGATTTGCCCTCCAGAGTACAATCCAAAAAAAAAAAATAAAATAAAATCACAGTTATCTTTGTTCAATGGTTTTTGCAATTCTTTAAGGAAAGTTGGAGAAAACCGATGACAGCACATCCAGTGATAATTCACCGGTTCATTGTGAGGCACTTGCACAGCCAGGCCAGAGAGCTGTGGGTTCTCCAGAATACATGAAGAATAACAGAAGCTTTAAGAAGCTTTGGGGGAAGTAAGTACTGCCATGAACACATTAACAATAATGCACAACAGAATGAGCAAACAAAGTGAACAAACAGCACAGTCTGTGCATTTTTATGTTAATTTGTACTTGTCTGTGCCCAATATTTTGTGTGCAAAGATTTAAAAAAGCTTTATTTGGTTGTTTTTCTTTCCAATAAAGCAATAATTTCAGAAAATTGTAAAAGTTGCAAAAATTTCTAGTACTTTTGAAACAAAATATAAAGAAAATATAGAWGACCTAATACTTTTACATGCTGCTGTGGCTTAAATACAGTATATGGTTTTGCAAATGTTCATATACATATGCTAAACATGCGGAGTACAATTCCTTAAAATGCCTTAAAAGGCATGCATAAATTTAATAAAATACTTCTCCTGAACCCTTTGGAGTAAATTCACAAGCTTTAACGTTATAAATCTTTAAATTTGTCAACACAGATGCATGATTTGTTCTCATTTCTGACCAAAAGTAATCCAAGATGGTGGTCGGAACAAAGGTATAACACTTTCTTTTATGRCATTTCATGGCCACAAAAAACACTCTTGGAGCACCCAAAATATGTCATAACAAATATATTTTCACTTTTGTAGCATGTTTAGCCAGATAACTGTCCAAAAAAAAAAAAAAAACACCATGAATACCATGTTTTATATGTCTGCTGTTGTCACCTAGGAGAGAAAATGGCAGCCAGGTCAGATTTTTTTTCTAAGTTTCCTTTCCTTTTTCCACACAAGATCCTTACTCCTCAAAGCTGTATATCAAATAAAAGGAAACTTGATTGACAACAGAGCTGTGGTGTCAGAACAAGTAAACAGAACAAGAACTGATTGGCCAATTCTACAGTGAATCAATTACTTGTAACAAGGGCAGGATAGGAGGAGCTTAACACACATTTGGGCTTCTGGAGATCCAATACATGAACCTAATTAATCAAAAGAGGTGACCATTGAAAGAAGACGGCCAATGAAATTGTTTGAACAGCCTACTATGCAAATTCAAAGTCCCTGCCAGTTTGGGTCAGTCCATAAAAAGGCAGAAATTAAACCCAAATTGGGATTGTACTGCGGGCGGTACAAGTTAAAAGAAAAAGACAAAACTATTTACATAGTTCAATTAATTTAATTGAGGTCTGGGCCTCCCTTCTGAAGCTGCTGCCCCCGCGACCCGACCCCGGATAGGCGGAAGGATGGATGGAATTAATTAAATTTATTTATTTATTAACATTTTTTCTTTTTTTCACACAGGCTTCGAAGAACCCAGTCTGGAGGTTTCCAAGCTGCAGATCCAGATGTTGGACAGTTCAGAAGAGGGGGCTTGCGTGCGACAGCAGGACCCAGACTTACCCGAACCCCTGAATCCGACTCGACTCGGTAACTATGTGCCTACTGGATGCTTTAGTACAATGCTTTCTTTTAGAATTAGAATTGTTAATTTAGTAGAAAACTTGCAAAAACTAATTATCATTTTCATTATTTGCTTTGGTTTCTGTTAGTGATATGAACATCCCATTCAGCCAGTGGACCAGGGAGCAGGTGTGTGGCTGGCTAGAGGACTATGGACTCGGCCAGTAYATTAACCTTGCCAGACAGTGGGTTGAAAATGGGCAAACAATTCTGTCTGCCACACCTCAGGATTTTGAAAAGGTTCTTGTGCAAAATATGTATATATTATGTCTTACAATTTATTTKAGAACATTATTAGGTGTTTGTGGGTGAAAGCATTTCTGTATTTTTATGTAATTTCCCTTTGGGATCAATACAGTATTTTGATCTTGATCTCTGATTTTTCTCTTTAGGAGATRGGCATGAAGCATCCGCTTCACAGGAAGAAGCTGCAGCTCGCTCTGAGGGCATTTACCACTAAAGTTATAGAGAAGTCTTCAGAGCTGGACCACATCTGGGTGACACGTAAGAATCTGCTTGTGTTGAATATTTCTCAGGCTCTRCGTTCTCATTTTAGAGTGATTTACAAATGCAAAGTGTCTGATGCCAGAAATCAAACAAAGAAGCACAGTGTGTGATGTGTAAATGTACCTGAAAATAAAATGCAAATAGAACCGCTTTTCAAAAACTGGAAATTGATCTTGAAAGTACAGTTACTATATAAAGCATATGTTCAAGCTTTGTTTAGTGTTCACATTTTTTTCTTTTCTTGTTTTTTTRTTTTTGTTTGGATGCAGGTTGGTTGGATGATATTGGATTGCCTCAGTATAAAGACCATTTTCATGAAGCCCGTGTAGATGGTCGAATGATACAATACCTCACTGTGGTAAAACTTTATTATGTGTATTTAAACATGATTAACACATTTAAAATTTAAAAATATGCATCAAAACAATTTTTGACTAATTTTAATTTTTTTGTCCTCAGAATGATTTATTGACTCTAAAGGTCACCAGCCAGCTTCACCATCTCAGTATTAAATGTGCCATTCATGTCCTTCATGCCAATAAGTTCAACSCAAACTGTCTTCGACGTAGGCCAGGAGAAGAGGTAAGCCAACACAGGTGTTCCCATTTATGCCATAAAAAATAATACATCATAGTTATACCTGGGTATCATTTTCCTGAGGAACTCTTTGCTGAAATACTGCTTCAACAACTGTAATGACATAATGTTTCCACAAGATGGTAGCAAACACATTCATATTTAGTTATTATTTCAAGGTAATCAGGCATTTTTGTGTGTTTTTAAAATAGTCTAAGAAAAAAAAATACTGCAACTATTTAAATTTCTATTTTTATTTATTTATTTTTGTGTTTTTTGTTTCCAGAAACAACCGTCTCCTTCCGAAGTAGTCCAGTGGTCAAACCATCGTGTCATGGAATGGCTTAGAGCCGTTGATCTTGCAGAGTTTGCTCCTAATCTAAGAGGAAGTGGTGTTCATGGTGGCCTGGTGGTAAGTATTGTAAATGAGATTGACCACCATTGTGATACAAAATAATTGATTGATTGTAATTGACAATGTGTGTTTGTGTTTATGCACTGCATCATTGCAAATTACACACTGGCCATTTTAAGTGTTGTGTTCTCTATCAATATGTTCTTTTATAGATTCTGGAACCTCGCTTTAGTGCAGAGACTTTGGCACTACTCTTAAATATTCCTCCACAGAAGACGTTGCTCCGACGTCATCTTGCCACTGCTTTTGCTACTCTGGTTGGACCTCTAGCTATGCAGGAGAAACGAGAGTATGGAAACGCCACAGGCCACATGCCCCTAACCACCACAGCTAAAGTTAAAGTAAGGGCTCAATTTAAATTACGTCTTGTCACTGTTGCAGAAACATTGAATTATAATGGTTTTGCATGTATTTTTCTTTGTTTATTCTTTCAGCCAAAAAAGTTGGGCTTTACTCAGTTCAGTCACCTGAGGAAGAGGAAACCTGATGAAGCTGCAGACTACATCTGCCCAGTCGACAGTGGAGCACTAACAATGAATGGAGTTTCTCGTTTGCTCTCTCCAACACACAGAAGTCCTAGCTCTCCTGTGGACAGACAAGTTGAGAAGTGAGAGCTAATGGCTGTAAAAGCCTTAAATGAAACATTATTACAATATTTAAATAAGAACGTTGAAACTCACTCACACTATCACTCAAAATGTGACAAAATCAGAAGATAATGATTTTTAATTTCTACTTAAAGTCATCCATAAAGAGCTTTTCTGAATGAGTTAGAGGATGCTGTTTTTGCATTAAATTGCATTTATTCATGTGTTTTTAATCAGATGTTGCTTGAAGATTTTCATCTTGTGGATGAAATGATTTGAAACATTGTGTGAATTGTTTTGAAAGCTGCTCCCTGCATTCCTTAAAACAATAAATTTCCAAAGACTACCCTTTTTGCTTCAAAACAATGCAGTTTATAAATATTTTGTACTTTGTATTCCGTTGATTTTTTATTGTATATCAGAACATTTGTGTACAGTACAATAAGTGACTATGGTTACTTTATTGTTTTTAATTTTCTGAATTTTGATTCTAGAAAATGCACTTAGTATTTGAACCTTTAAATAAAACTTGTTTGTAAAGGTATTACTTTGTTTTCACCTAAACATTATTACTTTGATATTATTGCTGTTGATCAAAATCTTTAGTCTTAGGTTTCCACACATTTCTGCTGCCACAGTCGTTCTGAAGGACGGTACAATCACATCACCTCAACACTGCCCTCGAGAGGTTAACGTTGTAAAGTTCAGAAATTACAATGTGTACATTTTACATGCAAATGTTTTTTTCTGTTCTTCTCAAGTATCACTGGTATGTTTTACACTCACAGTACTCTACATCCTATTTGAAGTTGTAACATCTGAATATGTTAATTTAAGTTGATAATTTTGTAATGACACATTTAAAAAAATTAAAAAAATGCTTAAATTTTTTATTTCATTATTCAATCAGCAGAGTTATTTCAGAACACATTCTGACACTTGGTCACAATGTTTAGCACAATCAAAACTGCTATAAAACTCAATTTTCAGTTCCTCGGTGGATCAAGATTATCTGTCCATACTGATTATTTTACAAATGCAGTAACTTCTTATTAAAGAGTAAAGTAAGAGTAGATGTACTCTATTTATCTATTAATCCCCAATGGGGAAATTATTCATCTTAATTTTTCCCTTGTGAGCACCTGTGACACTATTAGTGTGACCATTGCTACAGTGTGTGTATCTGTATCTCTAAAGGACCTGTCACACTGTTAATGTTATAACATTCAATTATCAGGCCACCCTATGCGCCAGCCCATAGACATTCAGGAATGAGTGAGTGAGTGTGTGYGATTCAGTTATCAGAGTTTTAGACAAACAATATTTTTAAATAGCAATATTATTTGAACTGAAAATTGACTTAAATAGTTTAATGCAGATTGTTGCCATTATAAGTAACAGATCATTGGCATCAGGTCTAGCGGGATTTTCAGCAGGTGTGTGTGTGTGTGTGTGTGTGCGTTTTATTTTTTATCTTACTGCAGAAAAACATTTTTATTAGACCCAACAAAAACTTAGAAAACTAATTTTTGCATATCACAGTTTATTTATTTATTTATTTATTTATTTATTTTTAGTAGGAAGCATTTTGATCAATGATTGCTACAGACAAATTCACAGATAAATTCGACCTGCTTTTGAATTAGAAGTTAAAATAGTCAAAATAATTGTCATATAATAGAAAATTAAATGTGTTTGATAAAGAGTAACATGCACTGAATAAATGAACATTTATACTGTCCGTATACTGTATACATACAGTTATGTACAGGGCCAAGCTTAATTCTGTTTAACAATTTATTTTAAACCAGCAGGTGTCAGTGTTGACTGTGCGTTTTCCTGACTTTGGTCTCCGTAATGTATTTAATTAAAAAACGCAGAAAAAACGTTTACATTATAATTTAATAGTTGCTTCTTGTTTCTGTAGTCCTTTTTAATGTGCTGTCCTCAGTTTCATATGTGTTTTATTTAGAAAGTTCTGAAGTTTGTGCAGTTTTAGTTGCACTTGTACTTTGCTACTTTGGGYTAATTGGGGTACTTTGATTGTTAAATTAGACAAATACAAAAACATTTTATCCCATTTACCATCACTTTTTCTGTAAATTTGTATACAGTATAAGTGTGTGTGCAAATTAATGAATGGCTGTGAGAAGAGATGATGGCTTTGTTTGTAATAGTGCATCTTGGGCTAATTTTAGTAATGTGATCCAGCCTGCACTAGTTGACAGTTTAATAGCTATTATTTGTGTCACCCTCTCACATAATGCTTCAGCTGTAAATTGGTATGTGTAGGGAGCTGGGGTTTGACTGACATCTTACCTTGCAATATGATACCTATTGTTTTAATTAAGTGAAAGCATTTGTGACATTTATTGGTTTCAGAGTAACTTGTTAATAGGAGCATCAGRAAAAAAGTAAAATGAAATTATTATGGTTCACATTACATAAATTATTTGCAAAGCCTTCGCTAATGATTACACATTATTCTCCCACTGAGCCTGTCAATTTGTCTGAATGCATCACAAATAAAAACGCAGCACAGGTGATGCAATGTAAACCCCCTCTTGGCAACGCCCGACTTCACTCTCTTCTCTATCAGTTCTTTTATTTTATCATTTTATTATTTTTATTTTTTCACCTGTTTGTACCAGTGTGAATGACATTTATTTATTTTTGCAAGCCTTTGTGGTTACATTTCTGTATTGACATTGTCAAGCAGAACTTTTACTCTTTGACAAAAGCTCCTGTTMAGATTTATGCCGGTAACCGTTGCATTAGTGCTTTAGGTCATCACCCTGTCTGTTTGATCTATGGTCTTTCTCAGACGTCCTAAGTGAAGCATAATTGTGTTTCTATTTGATGTCACGATTCATTCCTGTCATTAACGTGCCACCAGCTTGCCAGTTTGGGGAACATATTCAGTGTTAGGGTGGTGCATGTGTTGCAAACTCTCCAACCAACCGCTATGGTCATATCTGTCTCCGGTACACCAGTTAATTCTGACAGGCATGCCACACTGATGACTGCATCGCCTAGATGYGGCAGAGTGGCTTTCGTATTGGGGCTGACACGCTGTCCAAAAGAGCAGCCAGCCGTCCACATGAGCCATCTTCTGCCCCATCAAACCTCAAAGCTCATTTCATCCTGTACAACCAGCCAGTATCATCCAGACTTATTCTCTTTGTTTGGTCTTTTTTTTGCTGCGTCCCATGTAAAATTTCAAACTCACCACAAGAAAACTGACAGTGTAAGTACCAAACAAGCACAAGGGGATGTGATGTGATGACCAAGGTAACTCCTTTATAATCTCAAACTTATATGTGAGCTATATTTTTATCTCCAAGAGATGGTGACTGGAGTCTATCCTAATAAGATGCCCATACCACCTCAGGCAACCCCTTTCGAAACAGAAGAGCCTTTACCTTGAGATTCTCGTGAATAATCAGGCTTCTCATTCTGTCTCTATAGCTGAGCCTGACCAGCCAAGAAGCTGTTTCTAGTTGCTTGCATCTGAAATCTTTTTCTTTTAAGTCATAATTCACATCTCATAACCAAMGKTGAGAGTATGAATGGAGACATACCAGTAAATCAAGAGCTTCACAATGCCTTCATCACTGCAAACCAGGGTTATTCAGTTAAATTGCTCTGTGGGTGACAGTTACTTAAAGCCAACACCTCAGGGGCTGGACATGGAGGTGGTGGGTGTGGGAAGGTAAAGCATGTATGCAGAGGTTTGCCTGATAACGGTAGGCGATACACTRCATAACGTAGAAGAACAAGTATTATCTTGTTCCTTTAAAATTTGTTTATTTTGCTAAATCAAATCATAAATTTTAAATCTATATTTGATTTGAAAAAAAATTATAATAAGGCAGGCTGATGCAAGTCTCTCAAACTCTGAAATATTTTCCATTTGATTTATAGGAATAAAGAAATGATTAAATAATAATGTTATTTATAACATCAGCACTTTAGAGGCTTGGAACCACTGTGAATATAATGCAGCTCACAGAAAGAACATTATTTGATAGTAAATCCCAAACTWTTATGACATAAGAAGCTGTCTTTGCAGGTGCTCTGTGACACACAGCAAGACAAAATGCCATTAMACTCAAAAAGAGAGAGAAAAAAATCATGTTTACCTAACAAATAAAAAGGGAACRCAGGTGATCAGGCTGCACAGAGTATCACAAAAGTGCTGGAARTCAAAATAGTTCATTTGTCAGAGGAATGGAAGCAGTGTCTTTACCTCGGGGCTTTGTCATGAGTGATCAGTGCTGACATTCATCACCAGAGGCTTTCACGTCTGATGAGAACACCTGTCTGACTCTCAAGATGAAACTGGACAAAGGAGTGCCATTGCAATTAACATTTCACATGTGCTGATCTGTCTCAGACAACAGCATTTTACTGAAGCAGGTTCAGAGAAATGCACAATCAATTCAGAAAGGATAAGATTTTTTGTGTGTATGATCAGCAACTGGATAACTAAGAGGATAACTAAGATAAATCCCACAAAATTGGATTAGATGTCAACAAGAATTTTTTTTTAAATTTTCTGATAGACTACACAATGAAACAAGTGATAATTGTTGCCCCTGTSAGTAAGAAGTTTTTGGAATATTGGTTCTTCTTGGCCTCTTACACAGTGACTGCTGGGTCACCACCTCCTGCCATCCAGGAAAGGAAAAGCAGATAAAGAAATTAGATGGATGGATGGATGGATGGATGGATGGATGGATGGATGGAAGGATGGATGGATGCTTTTAAAAACACAGCCTTAGTGAACATGTGACTTCACTTATTTTCAAAGTCAGAGAAAACAAAGTAGCAAACTACTGAAAGGCAGAAAAATAAGATTAGTTAAACTTGAACAGTATCAGACTAACTCACTGTGTTGTTTGTGTTAACGTTGAGTTTAGACAGAAAAAAAAATCTTCAGAATTCTTCACCTCTTCTGACAGAAGTGTAATACACTTCACCCATACTTTCTCGAACACTATCACAGATTATTTTGAAACTCAGCGAAAAATGARTCATTTACTATCTAAGATCATTGCTTTGCCACAAAATGCATTGAGATTTACTTCCATGAACAAACACACAACGTATTGTGGTTTTATAAATCAGAGAAATACAATGAATGAACCAGAGTGGATGCATTACATCCTATCTGTGTCTCATCCTGTTTAAAGACTTCAAAAACATACAGTGAAGGAGCTGTTAGACAAGATGAGAGAGCCTCATTTAGACAATATTGTATAAAGAAATATGCAAGAGAAAAACAAACCCCAACAGCCGTGCTTGATGAAATTACAGACAAAAAATGGTCTCTGATGAATTGGCACTTAATTACCGGTTGATTAGCATAATTATGCATGTTAATAGCATCTCAAATGAATTGCAGTTGTCAGGAGGGAGGAAGCATCTGTACTGGTGGCAGCCTGATACATATTTTCTCCTATCCAACAGCGTTGTCTAACTCTTCCCCTTAAGTGTTCACCATTAATCACAACACAYTTCTTTTCCTTTGGAGTGAAATTT